CCCCGCGGCCCCCCCTGAGGCGTTGGGGGGGGGAGGCGAGCCGGCGGGCAGGTAGCCCGCTCCTCCCCGGGAGTGGCCTGGGTGGTCCGGCTCTCCGTGGCCGGATCCGCCCAGTGAAGGCCCCGAGGCGGGGGGTGGGGCAGGGGGGTACAGCAACTTACAGCCGCCTTTGTGTTACCAGCTGACAGGGGGAATTGGGTTCATCCACCACAACTGCACCCCGGAGTTCCAGGCCAATGAAGTGCGGAAGGTGAAGGTGAGTGGCTGGAACGGCGCTTCGTGGAGGTGGGTAGTGGGGTTTGGCTCACTGTAAGAGGAGACCATCAATGTGTGCCGGATCTCGATGTTTCCGAAGAGCGTTGCTGCCGTGGTTGCCTGCACAAACTCTTGTTGTGTGTTAGGTGTTGTGCCACACGCAGCCTGGGGTTTGAGAACTGCCAGGCCTCCTGCTGTGGGAGTATTGCCCACAATTTCAGAAAGGAGGTTAGCCTGGGAACTCTTGGGAATCTCGTGCTCCTTGGGTGAGCCTTGGTGCTGGTTTGGGAGTCATCCCATTGGTGAGCACGTGGCCAGGTTGGGTGGTTGCAGACCTTTGTAAGCGGCTGCAGTAACCACCAGGCACGTGTCCAGCTTCTTCTCGCTCTGGCGGTGCTGCTTAGCCTGGCTGCTGAATCTGCTTCTTTTCAGAAATACGAGCAAGGATTCATCACAGACCCTGTGGTGCTGAGCCCCAATGACCGAGTGCGAGATGTGTTTGAAGCAAAAGCTCGTCATGGATTCTGTGGGATTCCCATCACGGACAATGGGAAGATGGGGGGCAAGCTGGTCGGGATCATTTCATCTCGAGATATTGATTTCCTGAAAGAGTCGGAGCATGACTTGCCTCTGGGCGAGGTGAGAATGGCTTGTGAGCAGCCGATGGATGCGAGCGTTGTGTTAGGAAGCAGTGTGGCTTGTGATGAGGAGAAGGGTGAGTGCGTGGCTGTGAGGATGCCGCACCAGCGGGAGGGAGCAGCTCTGTGTTAGCTCTGTGCATCCATCTTCAACTCTATTTCCAGGAGAGAGCGTCTCGTTCACTTACGCTCTCTCTGCAACTCCTGCAGTGCTGATACAGGAGAGCGGCCGTGCAGTTAGCGTTTGCGTGACTCCTCCTGTAGGGTTATCTTTCAGTGTTGTGGAAGCCACCATCTCTACAGCTGGTGCTCTTCCTTGGTTTGGTCATTAATTCCTGGCGTTCCTTGCTGCTGCTGTGGTGCCACGTAGTGTGCTGGTGCTGGCCAGGGCTATAGCAGCTGCGCTGTGCCCAGCAAGCCCTCCAAGTGCCAGTCTTCCTTTTCTGGGCTACCTTTCCCTCTGTGCCTTGTCTAGGCTACTTGGTCTTTGAAATAACCCCCTGAACTTGGAGACTAGCAGTTTAGCCTTTATAATGCTACACTGTCGAACTCCCCTCGTACAGGAGAATGTTCTCTGCAATGCCGATGTTGATTCCTGTTAGTTCTGGCATTCC